TTTTTTGTGCTTTTTGCTGTGAGATAAAACCAAAAAAAAAAAAAAATAGAAATAAAAAGTTTGATTTTAACGTTGTTTGGGTTGATCGTAAAAAATATTTTTGAAGCAACTATTAATGAATAAATCATTCAAGTGACGAATGAAAAGAATTTGATGGAAGAGAGTTTGGAATTGAATTTATATTATCTTTGACTGCTAAATATCCAATAGAATGAGCAAGAAATATTACTTTTTATGATATGCCAAATTTGTGTTTCGGATAAATGAAAAAGACAAATCAAGACAATGTTTTATTGGGGTTGGTCACAATGGTTGATCGTCAACACAGTTCAGGTCAAATATTTATATATTATCATTACGGCCAACCCCAATGTTTATAAAATTCACATATAAGTAAATTTAAAAAAAAAGAATCAATATAATCTTTTGAGAGAAATTAACTCACGTAATAATACTAATACTTTGTTTATGTAATTAAGTAAGCTCTAACTTGAATGTTACACTTTTAAAAAAGAATCATAATGATCTTTTGGGAGAAATTAACTCACACAATAATACTCTGTTTATGTATTAAGTAAGCTCTAACTTGAATGTTACATTTTTAGAAAAGAATCTTTTGGGAAAAATTAACCCACATACGATAATAATGATACTTTATTTAAATTTATTTAAGATAAAGGTCAAAACAGGTTTATGTGCAAATTAATTTTATCAATTATGTACGCCTGATTACGAAATGAGTCATGCTAAAATTTACATTATGCATGTCGTTCCAAAATTTCCAGATAGAAATCTTGAATGTTTCATAGTTAGACATACAATAAAGCTCTGAAATATATATTTAGTCATAATAGCTCTACGCAAGGGGTTTTTATTAGATCACTATGCAAAGTTAGTACCTTGATCAGATAATTGGGAGAACTAATCCTCTGACCTTTGATCACATGTGATTTTGGGCTAATCCAGCTTTCAACGCAAACCATTTTTTATAAGCGAAACGAAACAAATAAATTAATTTTGTATATACGTTAAGAATTAAAAAATATATACTGTATTGTATTAAACATTGATGTAAAAATTTCTATAGTTAATATTTATGTTAATGTCGCAATCTCAATAATTGTTTCAATTATATCCTTTCGGCCAAAGTAATCAAAATAATATTGCTTTTCATTTCCTCAATTAATACATTAGTCGGTCCAATGTGATAAACAATATTAGAAGCAAGGTGATGAGTCAAAATATTAACATGTAAAAATATATAAGATATATCATCCAAATCAATGAATAATAAATAACGAACAAGTTTACAACTGAGAACGCAATGCGAGCTTTTGCTTTTTATGTATCACACAATCGTGCACGCCGTGCTATGAGAGAACAAAGATTCATTTATTTTAGCATCGCGTTGACATCAAAGTTAAGTTGGGTTTGGGTTGCGTTATCTTCTTTGCAAAGAGCAAAAAAATGACATCACTCGGATCAAGACAATAGTCTATTTTATTCCTGGTCTAATCATCCTTATACAGTATAAATAAATTTTCTAAATTTTCGCAAGATTGTGCAATTGATTGAAATAGCTTTCTCAAAAACCCACAATCATCATAACCATCAACATCCAGATTTTTAAGATTTTTTCCATTTGTATTAATAGAATTGGACAAGTCTGAATAGAAATGGTTGATAATAAATATTTAATTTCACTGATTCAATATTTGGCAGTGAAATATTTTTCCAACTTTTTATTTTGATATTAGCATAAAATGTTAACTCTAAAGTCTTTGTTGATTGTGAATGTGTTGATTCAATAACTTCAATAACTAAATATTTAATCGCTTTTATGCTTTAATTAGCTGTGCTAAAATTATTTTAATGATTGAATAGTTTTACAAATATTTGTTAATTTAGCAAAAAATTCATCACCATAATAACATTCTATTTCATAAAGATTCTGAAAACAATTATCAAATCTATAATGAATAATTAAAAAATTACAATCTATATAATTAGTACTAAGTTTTCTAATTTATTATGTTTTATCAGACATTGGATGCCATAACGATTGAAAATTATAGTACAAAATCCAGCATAATTGTATAATGGTGGTTTCTCCAATAGTTCAAAAGTTATTTTGACTCCAGTTAAGAAATACTTATCCTCTTTCAATAAACAATTAATTAATATTTAATGCTGCTAAAAGAATAAAATGGATTTCTTCATAAAATCGGAATATTGGTATTGTGCCATTGTTTGTTGACAAGAGTACAAGAATATGTTGTTTTATAAAATCATCTTTAATGTAATTGAATATTTCAGTTAGAAGCTCAGGTGGAAATTCAAAATTATTTCCCGCGAAAATCGCCAATTAATTTCTAAATACGCCTAAAAATATTAATATTAATATGTTGTGGTCGCGGAAAAATATGCTATTATATTTATTGTGTCAGCCCAGCATTAATTAAGACTGATGACTAGGGCTTCTATTCGTAATACAGTTGATCTTTAATTCGAATTTAAAAACTTTAATCGAATTAAAAAAAATTTATTCGAATTATATGTTTTTTTATTTGAATTATTCGTTTTATTCATTTTATTGTTTTATTTGTTTTATTCATTATTGGAATCATGGGTTTGTTCATTCATTTTATTAGATTATTTGGAATCATGGGTTGTTCAATTACTTAAATATTCAAACTATATATACAACAAGGTTTAATATTGATTTTATTATTATAAAAATTGGAATTAAAAATGAAACTAATAAGGAACGACTGAAACAAGATTCATGTTTCTTTTAATAAATAGCAATCTTTCCAGTGAGCTCGAGTTTAAACTGGACCTTAATTATTTGCTTTATTTAGAGATGGGCAGATCAGTACTATACGTATAATACTATACGTATAGTGATACGTATAGTGCGTATAGTTCTAGAAAAATATAGTAGTAAATGTAAATCAATTACTGTTTAGGTTATTGCCAAATAATAGATGTGATGTTACACATAAAAATTAATTAATACTCTTCCTACGATAATATATATTTTAAACTTTCCTGCAATTTGGCAACATTTTAATATTAACGTTCTAGTTCAATATCTAGATGTGAAAAACATTTACGTCTTTGTCCAAATGCCACAATTCAAATTAAAAGAAATTATTTTGGAGAACATTTTAATACTTCTAAATACTTGGTGTACAGGTAAATTACAATATAATTGAAGATTTCATCAAGGAAGCTGATGAAAATTTTATTGAAGAATCAAATAAAAATGAAAGAAGTTTTGATTTTTATGATATTTAATTCATTCAATATAATTAATGATTCATAAATAAAAACCTAAAAAAGTGTAGGTTGAATAAATTAAAGATTTATGCTTATCGTAATAGCCAAATTATTTTTTTTTTCTTATTATTATTCAGTTTTGTATTACATTGGAAAATCACCCAATCAAATTTCAACACTACTATATGTACTATATGTACTATACGCACTATATGTAAAGTATCGTATAGTGTCGTATAGTGTTCAACTATACGCCATTTGCCCATCTCTAATCTTATCTCTTTCCTTATAATATTCTGCCTTTGCATATCACTTTTTTTGATATCTGAATTCTACCATCTGATCCTTCTTTTTTAGTGATACGTAAAAGCATCAGGAAATTAATTTAGTGTATACTTGCATAAATCTTACGATGCTGACGTAATATTGTGTAAATCTTACAGTGCCAATGTAAGTTTTACACTTTTTTATTATTAAACTTACAATTGACACATGTAAAATTTTTTTATATTTTCTGGATGAGCACAATTTTTTCTTACCTCTTTCTTTATAATATTCTGCCTTTGCGTATCACCAAAAGTTTACTATATTTTTCAGTTTTGGAAGCCCTTCTCGCATAGTTGATAGTCTTTGGATACTAAAAAAATCAAGTCATACTTCTATGTATTCTTTTGCATATCACTTTTTTGCTAACCTTTGCATATCACTTTTTTGATATCTACCTAACAATACGTAAAAGCTCAAGTTTTTTCTTACCTTTATATATCATCTTTTTTTGATACATAAAAGTTCGATTTTTCTTACCTTTGCGTATCACTTTTTCGATATCTGTTTAATGGTACTATGTGTCTTGACACTAGCTCCGGGTGATGACTACTCTCCTCGACCCAAAAACCTGCTTTGATAAGTGTCTGGTCATCTAAATCCTATCATCCAAAATCACATGACACAAAAACCCCTTTATATATTCTATATATTGAGCATTAATTTTTGATTTGAAATTTTTCTGCATACTCATTGTAAAAGGTGACAAAAACCCCCTTTACCTAAAATATATGGCTAGAAATACTCCCAGTCAGAGTATTCTGATCACATTATTTTGAAATAATATTCAATGAAAGCTAAAGATTTATTTTTCAACTCTTTTTTGTGCAGAGTGGTAGGAACTTTCATTTTAGCTTCAAACTTCTGCTTGTAATCCAAGAAATCAATTTCATTCATACTCTCGTGCTCTTTTTTCCCCCTTTTTCTTCTCTAGTTTGGAAAAAGATTATGTGTTAAAGGTTGGTTAACTATCAAAAGTGATAGCATTATTACTGTATGAGATCTCTTCTCCATTATCACTATCCCTTCGATATTCTCGCAGGCAAATTTGCCTGCTAACTTTTCGAAATCACATTACCTCAAGTAAAAATACTTTAATTTTAGTTTGTGCACCAGAATTTTTTGATTTTCTTATTTCTTGCCTTTTTGGAAATTTTTAAACTTAGTTTTAAATCATCTGACCATAATGACATCATGACAAATCCTTGTGATGGTGAAAAGAAAAAGTAAAAAACCCTTTTGCCGATCATTTTTCTGAAGAATAATTTTTTTAAAAAAAAAAAAATTTTTATAAAAAATGAATGCAGTCTCATTTTCTATAAAAAGGAATTTTTTTTCAAAAAAATGTTCCCTTATTTTTTTTAATTCTAATTAATGAATTTTTCTTTCTGGACATGTCTCTTGCTAATGAAAATTCAATACAATGTGAGGATGATGATGATTTTTTCACCTGTCAGGTTATTCACGAAGAATGGTTAAATGATTTTTTAGTAGAACCTGATTTTTTTTTGGATGATTTAGAACCAGTAAAAAAAAAAAAAATTTGACTAGTGAAAAAAATGATAAAAAAGCCAAAGGCAAAGTCAAAAGCAAAGATAAAGATAAAAACTATATTTCTTCAGAGGATTTCATACCATTTCAACATAAATACTCTTTACATACAGCAACACCCACATTACCAAAGAGTCTTCATGATATTGAACCTTCACCATATTCAATTTTTCGTTTATTTTTTTCAGAAAAACAACTTCAAACAATTGTAAAGAATACAAATTTATATGCATATAAAAAAAATACTGAATCCGACCAAAAAGATTGGAATGATTTAACATTAAATGAATTAAAAATCTGGTTAGCATTGGTAATCTATATGGGAATATTTAAACTTCCTGCTATCAAAGATTACTGGGTAATTGATAGCTATTATCCATCTCATGAAGTTATAAAAATGATGACAATTAAAAGGTTTAATGAGGTAATTAAAATTTAAAAATTGTTGAACTCAATATGTTGAAAATTAAATATATTAAACTATATATTTTTTTTCATTTAGATTAAGCGATTTTTACATATCTCAGATCATTATGCAGAGCATTCCAATTTTTTTATGAAATTAGAGCCACTTTCAAGTCACATTCGTGAGGTGTCAAAAAAAATATATCTTCCTTCATCCAATGTCTCAATTGATGAGATGATAGCACAATTTTCTGGAAGAAGCCCACATACATTCAGAATTAAAAATAAACCAAATCCTGAAGGATACAAAATTTTATCACTTTGCGATTCTGGATACACATACACCTTTATGTTTGTTTCACAAATTGTAAAAACAATCATTGAAACTATTCCTAATGTCAATCAAATTGGCACAGAAGTTTATCATTTGGTAAAGCAATTACCACTAGGAAAAGCTTTCAATATTTTTATGGACAATTACTTTTCATCAATCAATTTATTTACATATTTAAGGAGTCAAGGATATGGTGCATGTGGTACCATTAGGACTAATACTGCAAAATTTCCATCCATCTTAAAAGAAGAAAAAGAGTTAAAAAATTTAGAATGGGATCATTTGAAAGGTGTAGTAATAGATAATGTATTATCATTATTATGGATTGATAATGGACCTGTGACTATGCTTACTACAATACATAAAATAGATGGAATGGAAAATAGAATAGAAAGAAATAGAAGAAGACCAAGAGAGACAAGTACTAACACAAACAAATTAAAAATTGTATTTGGAAATCAAACAAGAAAGGTGTTACCAATTCCTAAAGTAATTGATGACTACAACCACCACATGGGTGGAGTTGATGTGGCTGACCAGCTTTGTAGTTATTATTCCACTCAATTAATAGCATTCAGGACTTGGTATCCACTTTTTTTCTGGCTCTTAGACACAGCTGTTGTAAATTCATTTATTGTTTGTAAAAAGTTAGGAATTTCTCAAGAACATAAAAAGTTTAGAATTCAAATAGTTAAAGAATTGATTAAGGAAGCAACTCAAAACCCATTAAAAAGAAATACTCGTAATGGAGAAAATGGAGAGACATCTGAAAAGAAAAATGACAATAAAAGATTTCGTGTTTCTGACATTTTTGAATTACCAGCAACTAGATTAATTGGTAATGATCATTTTCCCGAATACCGCGAAGAAAGAAACTCCTGCTTGTGGTGCAGGTATGATTTAAAAAAAAAAAAATGCACCTAGGCCACAAAACCCTCCACAAAGTCAAATTTGGTGTTCTAAATGCAATGTAGTATTATGTTGCAACAACAAACGTCCAAGTTGTTTTAAAAACTATCATTCTGTACAAGAATAATTTTTGTTTTATTTGTTTTAGTTATTTTTATATAGTTATTTTTATATCTATTATTTTTATATATAAAATAATATAGTAAATATTTTTATATAAAATAATAGTTATTTTTGTAAATATTTTTATATAAAATCACTCAACAATGCACAAGAGCTAATCACTTACATAATAATAGTAATTATTTTTGTAAATATTATTTTTTTTTGTTCGCAGGCAAATTTGCCTGCGAGAATATCCGTCCACATTTTCACAATTGTTTGTGTAATAGTATACAAAAAAAAAGGGTACTAAACCAGTTTTCTGACCTTAATGAAAGACGTGCTACGTATTAAAATATACATATTCTGTATTGGTTTTAATAGGGTAGAACCAATAATTAAAAATTATCACAAGGCATGAGGTTAAAAAAATTTTTTTATTTAAAAAAAAATTTTACATTAAATTTTCAAAAAAAAACCCCTTTTTTTTTTGTTGAAAATACCCAAAAACTTTTTTTAAATCATAAATTTTGAGTTTTAACTATTTAGGATATAAAAAAAATAATAAATTTTAGTTGAAAAAAAATATTGTTAATTAGTGGTGAAAAAGTGCATAGTTCGCAGGCAAATTTGCCTGCGATGATCTACATCGAGGGGATATGAGACCTCTTCTTCATTATCATATACATGTATATCATAACAATAATCGTAATTAGATGTATCTATCATTGCATTTTCAATATCTCCTTGAAAGTATATATACTCATTTATAAGATCCCCTAACATTTCTCGTGAAAAGAAAAATATCATGTTTCTATCTCGAGCAAAGTATTTATTATATGTCATTGATAATGAAACAAAATCTTTATAAACACAGGAAATAACATCATTAAGACAAGATTTTAAAATCTTTCCTTTATACCATGCTGATAGAGTATTATTAAAATGAGAAACCCAATTATTAAGTCGAAACGCATATAAATTACAGATAGCTCGAAACCCTTCAGAGCGCCAGATATGATTGACTGTAATAATCTTAAATAGATCCTTGTCTTTAGAAAGATGGCTAAATATATTTTCCAAAATTTCAGGTACTAATAAAGCATGTGTTGCAGGAGAAATATCGTTAATATTCATAGTTATTTTTCTGATTATCTATTAATATAACAGCTAAATAAAAAGTTCTAGTTAATAAAATCTCAAATAGATAGTCTTGTTATCTAGCCCACACACCCTGTAACCATTCACTTTTCCTCTCCAACCCCATGTACGTCTCAATATCATGAACCACATAACTACAATAATTAACAGAATAAGAAAAATATATGCCGATAGCGGTGACATCAAAGTGCTTGCCACAATAGGAATTGCCCCTATCCCTCCTATTGGAGGAATCAGAGATTCGGCACTATGTGCCATCTGGGAATTCGATTCAATCAAAGAGGACATATTAATTTCCGACTGTGCAAGGTAAGGGGTCATATTCAGTATTTCCTGAAGTGTATTGTTGTTAGTTTTGCTAATATCGATTTCGTCACTTACCTTGGGAATAATCTCAGTATCATTTTTCTGCGTAGAAAATATTGACTGAGATCTTTACTGGATGAGGAATAGCCTCGAATCTCTGATTCCTCACTAGACACGTAACAGGAGGGAACGTCCTATATAAGGAATGGATTTTCACAATTGATTTCAATTTTTTTTATACAGTTTAAAATATTTTTACAAGGGTATTACGTAGCCCATTCTTACAATAAATCATGTGCAAATAATTACACAAATTTGAAGCTTTACACT